GTTGGGTCAAGGTCACCAGTGCTAAAAAGAGATTTTTACACATTTGCTCATACAGCCTTTATTAAGTGACAGATATATTTAATATTTGGTAGGAAGATAACTTGCATGGTATTCATCCTTTTGATTGGGGTAGGGATCAGTGGGTCAAGGTCACTTGTGCTAAAAATAGATTTTTACACTATTGCCCATACAGCTTTTATTTATTGACAGATGTATTTCATATTTGGTAGGAAGATAACTTGCATGGTATTCTTCCTTTTGATGGAGTAAGGGGTCAGTTGGGTCAAGGTCACCAGTGCTAAAAATAGAATTTTATACTTTTGCCAATACAGCCTTTATTTATTGACAGATGTATTTCATATTTGGTAGGAAGATAACTTACATGGTATTCTTCTTTTGGATAGAGTTAGGGGTCAGTTTGGTTAAGGTCACCAGTGCTTAAAATAGATTTTTACACGTTTGCACGTACAGCCTTTATTTAATGACAGATGTATTTCATATTTGGTAGGAAGATAACTTGCACGAAGTTGAATATTTTTCAACTTCACAAGTCAGAGCAATGACTTGGCAACTTGTATTTTTCACAATTACAAAATGCCATGACTTTGTCAAGCTATTTAACTTGTGTTTACAATTTTTTGGCAGTTTTTCTGTCCATTACTGAGTGAATGGGTAAACATTTTTTGAAATATTGCTACTGACAAGAATCTGAGCTGGGGGCATTTGTGTTTAACAAACACGTTCTTGTTATTTTTAAAGTTTGTTCGGACTACTTCTCTGATACAACTAATGCAATTTCAATGAAACTTTACAGGATTGATCTGTAGCTCAAGTCCTTGCGCATATTGCACGGGTTTTCCGGTTGAATGATTTTTGGCCGAGTTATGGCCCTTTGATAAAAAGGTGTTTTTTTTCTGTGTGTTGCCAGATACACAAAAGCTTGTCCGGACTACTCCTCATAAACTACTGGTGCAATTTCATCCAAACTTTACAGGAATGATCAGTACCAAGTCTAGTTGTGCATATTGTCAGCATTTTCCGGTTCAATGATTTTTGTCAGAGTTATGGCCCTTTAATAATTTTTATTTTTAAAGTTTGTCCGGACTGCTTCTCTTATACCACTAATGCAATTTCAATGAAACTTTACAGGATTGATCTGTAGCTCAAGTCCTTGCACATATTGCATGGGTTTTCCGGTTGAATGATTTTTGGCTGAGTTATGGCCCTTTGATAAAAAGGTGTTTTTTCTGTGTGTTGCCAGATACACAAAAGCTTGTCTGGACTACTCCTCATAAACTACTGGTGCAATTTTATCCAAACTTTACAGGAATGATCAGTACCAAGTCTAGTTTTGCACTGTCCGTCTGTCTTAAAACTTGTCCCAACATGAAATTGTCCGGTTGTCCGTTGGTTTTTTCTTGTCCGCCCAATAACTTAAGATTCCTTTGACTCTTAGTCTTCATATTTGGCATGGAGGTTAGTCATGATTAGTAGATGACCCCTATTGATTTTGAGGTCACTAGGTCAAAGGTCAAGGTCACAGGGGCCTTGACTTCAAAAAGCTTGTCCGCCCAATAACTTAAGATTCCTTTGACCTACAGTCGTCATATTTGGCATGGAGGTTAGTCATGATTAGTAGATGACCCCTATTGATTTTGAGGTCACCAGGTCAAAGGTCAAGGTCACAGGGGCCTTGACTTCAAAAAGCTTATCAGCCCAATAACTTAAGATTCCTTTGACCCATAGTCTTCATGTTTGGCATGGAGGTTAGTCATGATTAGTAGATGACCCCTATTGATTTTGAGGTCATCAGGTCAAAGGTCAAGGTCACAGGGGCCTTGACTTCAAAAAGCTTCTCCGCCCAATAACTTAAGATTCCTTTGACCCTTAGTCTTCATATTTGGCATGGAGGTTACTCATGATTAGTAGATGACCCCTATTGATTTTGAGGTCACCAGGTCAAAGGTCAAGGTCACAGGGGCCTTGACTTCAAAAAGCTTGTCCGCCCAATAACTTAAGATTCCTTTGACCCACAGTCGTCATATTTGGCATGGAGGTTAGTCATGATTAGTAGATGACCCCTATTGATTTTGAGGTCACCAGGTCAAAGGTCAAGGTCACAGGGACCTTGACTTCAAAAAGCTTATCCGCCCAATAACTTAAGATTCCTTTGACCCACAGTCTTCATATTTGGCATGGAGGTTAGTCATGATTAGTAGATGACCCCTATTGATTTTGAGTTCATCAGGTCAAAGGTCAAGGTCACAGGGGCCTTCACTTCAAAAAGCTTGTCCTCCCAATAACTTAAGATTCCTTTGACCTACAGTCTTCATATTTGGCATGGAGGTTAGTCATGATTAGTAGATGACCCTATTGATTTGAGGTCACCAGGTCAAAGGTCAAGGTCACAGGGACCTTGACTTCAAAAAGCTTGTCCGCCCTATAACTTAAGATTCCTTTGACCACAGTCTTCATGTTTGGCATGGAGGTTAGTCATGATTAGTAGATGACCCCTATTGATTTTGAGGTCACCAGGTCAAAGGTCAAGGTCACAGGGACTTTGACTTCAAAAAGTTTGTCTGCCCAATAACTTAAGATTCCTTTGACCCACAGTCTTCATATTTGGCATGGATGTTGATTATTATTAGTAGATGACCCTTTTGATTTTGAGGTCACTGGATCAAAGGTCAAGGTCATAGGGACTCTGACTTCAAAAAGTTTGTCCACCCATTAACTTAAGATTCCTTTGACCCACAGTCTTCATATTTGGCATGGATGTTGATCATGACTATAAGGTGACCCCTATTGATTTTTAGGTCACTGCGTCAAAGGTCAAGGTCACAGGGACCTTGACAAAAAAAAGCTTTTCTTCTCAATTGCTAAAGAATGTCCTGTCCGCAATGTATTGATTTTGACATTTTCACATTTGAAGCATGTAGAATATATAACTTAGCAATGCACTGGCTTAGTAACCTCAGATTTGGCAGGGAGGTTGTCCTTGAGCTCTAAATGGCCACTGTTGATTCTGACAAAGTGTTACGCGGGGGTATTCACGCCATGATAGTGGCAGTTCTAGTTTTGGACTGAATGTCCTGAGATCCATACCTCAATATATTGAAATAGCACAATTTTATGCTTCCTGAGGCGCGGGACGTTGGTAACTCTGTTACAAATTCTTGTTTATAGTTTACAATATTACTTGTTCCTTGTCATGGAGAGTTTCTATATACAGGTGAGCGATTTCAGAGCCATCATGGCCCTCTTGTTTGAAAGATTGTTACTGAAAAGAATCTGAGCAGGGGGCATTTGTATTTAACAAACACATTCTTGTTGTTTTTAGTCCCCTACCGGTTTACCGGAGGGGACTTTAGGTTTACCCTCCGTCTTACCGTCTGTCCGTCCGTCCGTCTGTCCGTCCGTCAGTCCGTCCGTCCACAAAACTGGATCCCCCGATAACGCAAAAAGTCCTAAAAATATTTTAATGAAACTTGATATATGGATAGATGGCAGTATGGAGATTATGCACGTCTTTTTCTTTTCTTCCTATGTTGAAAATTCTGGTTGCTATGGCAACAAATAGACTGAAAATATGGCAAATTTTACACATAACCTGGATCCCGCGATAACGCAAAAAGTACTGAAAATATTTTTATGAAACTTGGTATATGGATAGATGGCAGTATGGAGATTATGCACGTCTTTTTCTTTTCTTCCTATGTTGAAAATTCTGGTTGCTATGGCAACAAATAGACTGAAAATATGGCAAATTTTACACATAACCTGGATCCCGCGATAACGCAAAAAGTACTGAAAATATTTTTATGAAACTTGACATATGGATAGATGGCAGTATGAAGATTATGCACATCTTTTTCTTTTCTTCCTATGTTGAAAATTCTGGTTGCTATGGCAACAAATAGACTGAAAATATGGCAAATTTTACACATAACCTGGATCCAGTGATAACACAAAAAGTACTGAAAATATGTTTAATAAACTTGACATATGGGTAGATGGCAGTATGGAAATTATGCACATCCTTTTCTTATCTTCCTATGTTGAAAATTCTGGTTGCTATGGCAACAAATAGACTGAATTTCAAGATTTCTGATTCCAGTTTTTAAGTTTTTTCACTATAAGTTCTTTATATCTTAAGGTATTTTCTTCAAACTTTAAATATAAGTTGCTTGTCATCAACCAAATCATATGTGACAAGGTTTACAACTCTAGCACAAAATTTATCAGAATTACCTCCCTTGAACTTAAAATTTTCATGAAAAAAACATTGTTTTTTTTAATAACTTCTTTTTTTGAATGTATCTACTTCAAACTTCATATAAATGTTTCTTATTATCACTCAACATTTGTGAGTGTTCAATACTCTAGCAAGACTATTTCCAGAATTATGCCCCTTTTGAACTTAGACTTTTTTTTGAGAAATTGGTAATTTTTACTCCAACTTCTTCAATCATGATAGGATTTTAAAAATGTTATATTTTGATAACAGGGATGTTTAAAAAATAACTTTAGAGTGTCCTTCAGTCTGTCTGTCTGTACATAAAAACTGTTTCCTGTGATTACTTTTAAATAACTTTTTTAACAAATTTACTTAAAATAGGAACATAAGTGAATGGCCAATGGCCCTTCAGAATGTTGCTTGGGCTCTTACCGGTAGGGGACTTATGGATTGCTTGCAATACTATGATAATTGCTTGTTTTTCTTAAATTTTCTTTTTAAAGATTTGTTTAAAACGTTTGTTTGCCTTTAGAAAAAGTAAAGAAGTCGAACAATGTCCCCCTCCCAGAGGTGACTTGTCAAATATTTTTAGAACCCTTTGTTTGCTTTTAAAAAAAGTAAAAAATAAAGCATTGCCCCTGCCCTTTGGTGGCTCTTGTTTCACAAATGCAATATTGTTTGATTTTTTTTGCTATATTTTGCTTTAATCTTTGATTACCTTTACATTAAGAAAGGATATTAATAAAACCTTGGTATATTTCAGGAGGAGTTATAAGTATACCTGCAAATGCAGCTACTGGTGTGAGACCAATGGTAAAAGTTCAGATTCCTGGTAATACTGGGGCTATTACACTACGCCCAGCAACAGCAGCTGTTGCCTTGGCTCCTAAACCAAGTCCAACTGCAGGCACTAACCCTACTTCTACATCTCAGACCCTGACAGCTATAAAAGTAGGCAGTGTAGCCAGTCCAGCACCATCTCAGCAAGTTATTATGAAAGGTAATTTGTAATGCCCTTATGTTTTTATATGCCCGAAAGGGCATTTTATGTTATTCCCCCTGGCGTCCGTCTGTCCGTCCGTACGTCCGTCCGTTAGCAATTTGGTTTCCGGAGCATAACTTAAGTTCCATTTGGCCCACAATGTTCAAACTTCATAGGATGATTGTCCATATTGAGTAGAAGACCCCTGATGATTTTGGGGTCAAAAGGTCAAAGGTCAAGGTCACTATTACCTTAAAACTGAAAACAGTTTCCGGAGCGTAACTTAAGTTCCATTTGACCCACAATGTTCAAACTTCATAGGATGATTGTCCATATTGGGTAGAAGACCCCTATTAATTTTGGGGTCACAAGGTCAAAGGTCAAGGTCACTGTTACCTTGATACTGAAAACAGTTTCCGGAGCATAACTTAAGTTCCATTTGGCCCACATATTCAAACTTCATAGGATGATTGTCCATATTGGGTAGAAGACCCCTATTGATTTTGGGGTCAAAAGGTCGAAGGTCAGTATTACCTTGAAATTGAAAACAGTTTCTGGAGCATAACTTAAGTTCCATTTGACCCACAATATTCAAACTTCATAGGATGATTGTCCATATTGGGTAGAAGACCCCTAATGATTTTGGGGTCAAAAGGTCAGAGGTCAAGGTCAGTATTACCTTAAAACTGAAAACAGTTTCCGGAGCGTAACTTAAGTTCCATTTGACCCACAATGTTCAAACTTCATAGGATGATTGTCCATATTGGGTAGAAGACCCCTATTAATTTTGGGGTCACAAGGTCAAAGGTCAAGGTCACTGTTACCTTGATACTGAAAACAGTTTCCGGAGCATAACTTAAGTTCCATTTGGCCCACATATTCAAACTTCATAGGATGATTGTCCATATTGGGTAGAAGACCCCTATTGATTTTGGGGTCAAAAGGTCGAAGGTCAGTATTACCTTGAAATTGAAAACAGTTTCTGGAGCATAACTTAAGTTCCATTTGACCCACAATATTCAAACTTCATAGGATGATTGTCCATATTGGGTAGAAGACCCCTATTGATTTTGGGGTCAAAAGGTCAAAGGTCAAGGTCAGTATTACCTTGAAATTGAAAACAGTTTCCGGAGCATAACTTAAGTTCCATTTGACCCACAATATTCAAACTTCATAGGATGATTGTCCATATTGGGTAGGAGACCCCTATTGATTTTGGGGACACAAGGTCAAAGGTCAAGGTCACTATTACCTTAATACTGAAAACAGTTTCCAAAGCACAACTTAAGTTCCATTTGGCCCTCAATATTCAAACTTCATAGGATGATTGTCCACATTGGGCAAAAGACCCCTATTGATTTTGGGGTCACTAGGTTAAAGGTCAAGGTCACAATTAAAACCAAAAACAGTATCCAGAGCATAACGTAAGTTCCATTTGGCCACTATTTTCAGACTTCTTAGGATGATTGTCCATATTGGGCAAAAGACCCCTATTGAATTTTGGGTCACAAGGTCAAAGGTCAAGGTCACTATTACCTTAAAATTGAAAACAGTTGCCGGAGCAGAGCTAAAGTTCTATTTGGCCCACAATATTCAAACTTCTTAGGATAATTGTCCATATAAGGTAGAAGACCCCTGTTGATTTTGGGGTTACAAGGTCAAAGGTTAAGGTCATTATTAATAACTTAAGTATTAATCAACCTACAGCTGTAAAATTTTAAAGGATGAACAGCTAATTCCCATGTTTTACAAATGCTTCATCCTTACTAAAAAAAAAAAAACACTTTCGGGCATATAATGCTCTGCCTAGCGGTGCTCTTGTTATCACTGTCATACTTGTTACCCTGCCACCCTATGATAATGCTAACCTCAGCAGAGTTCTAATAATTTTAACAGAAAGCCAAATTTGTAATGTAGCAGACCTTCTGACAATCTATTTAAATGTGAGCCATCTGTTTAAATGACAGCCCTTGACACTTCTGTTGTAGAGCCATCGACCAAAACAAAGCTAAAAAAAGTAAACATTGTTTGTAAAAATATCTGATTTAAAAGAACATGCTTGTTTTTCTAAAATCAAAGAATACTATGCCATGTAGAACAATTTTCTTATCTTTTGGTATGAAATTTCAATACAAAATATCCCAAAATGCTGTTACTACAACTTCTTCCAAATATCATTATCTGTGTTTTCCTTCACAAGGAAACATGTTGAGTGATTTCTCTACCATGAAGTTTATGTTAACCCACATAATTTTGCAAAGTACATTGTGCTTACCTCACCTTTGGCTCAGCACAAAAAATAGTTCAAAGAGCTTGGTAAAAAATAAAATACTTATATTTATTCAAATGTGATTGAACCATTGACAAGGTGCTGGCGCCATTGGCAAGAGCCTTATCAAATGTGACGAAGTCAATACAAACATTAATTTAGTGTCAATATTGTGGAATTTTGGCGGTTAATATTCATAAATAGTCAAAATTGCACGAGCTGATCAAGACTTACTTTCATGAAATTTTCAAGTGATGCGTTTAGCATTAATTAAATTTTGCCATAGCAATACAATGCTATAACATTCTTCACCTAGAAAAACATTAAAAAGAACATTAAATTTTTCACTTGAAAGTTATCCATCCAATCAATGATAAAGAATTTACTGAAAATGGCACATTTTATACTTTATACTATACAGAAATATAGAAGCGTAGTAGATACTGAAGAGCCTATCTCAATCGATTTTGAGTATCAATGAATATAAAACAGAATAATTCCACAATAGCTACAGTTATCACACACTGGTTTAGCTTTAGCAACTTTGTTAAAATGATAGGGGACATGTACAGTAGTTTGCACTTAACATCTGAAACATCTTCTAGTGAGTGTCTACAAAGTTTGTTCAAATAAAAGCCCTGGGGTCAAAACTGGCCCTGCCCCAGGTGTGTCATTGTTTTTAACTATATGTGTAAAGAAAAAAAACTTGAAAAAATCTTCTTTTAAAAAACCCAACAAGCTAGACCATAGATGTTTAGCATGAAACATCTTCTAATGGGTGTCTACCAAGTTTGTTCAAATAAAAGCCCTGGGGTTTAAACTGGCCCCGCTCCGGGGGCCTATATACAGGTGAGCGACTTTAGGGCCATCATGGCCCTCTTATTTAGTGAAAGCCAAACTGAGAAAAATCTCAATCACAAATTCTGAGTTGAGAAAAATCTCAGATTTGAGCTGAGATTTTGACTTTGAGAACGTTAGTGAAAGCCGGGCCCGGCCTCGACATTAGAGGTGGTCCGTTGGTCCGAGACCACCTGATTTTGGCAAGGACCACCTAATTTTTAAAGCCACTTTTTGGGAGAATAGTCGGCGTCCGCGTCCAGATTTCAGATTAAAGTTTTGGTGCTGTAAAATATTTTCATTTCTTAAGGTATCAACTTCAAACTTCAAATATATGTTCCTCATCATCAACCACATCTTATGTGACAAGGTTCATAACTTTAGCACCAATATTTTTAGATTTATCTTCCCTTGAACTTAGAATTTTCCTTAAAAAATATTATTTTTTCCTGTAACTTCTTTATTTCTTTAGGGATCAGCTTCATACTTCAAATATATGTTCCTTATCATTAACCACATCTTATGTGACAAGGGTCATAACTCTAGCACCAATATTTTCAGATTTATCTCCCCTTGAACTTAGAATTTTCCTTAAAAAATATTATTTACTGTAACTTCTTATTTCTTTAGGGATCAACGTCATACTTCAAATATATGTTCCTTATCATCAACCACATCTTATGTGACAAGGGTCATAATTCTAGCACCAATATTTTCAGATTTATCTCCCCTTGAACTTAGAATTTTCCTTAAAAAAATATTATAGTTTACTGTTACTTCTTTATTTCTTAAGGAATCAACTTCATACTACAAATATATGTTCCTTATCATTAACCACATCTTATTTGACAAGGTTCATAACTCTAGTACCAATATTGCAAGAATTATCTCCCTGTTAACTTAGATTTTTTTACTTCTTTAGTTTTAAAGGTATCTACCTCAAACTTCAAATACATATTCCTTATCATCAACCAGATCTGATGTGATGAGGCTCATAACTCTTGAAGCAATATTTTCTCCCTTTGAACTTAGAAATTTCTTTAAGAAATATTATTACTTCTTTACTTTTTAAGGTATCTATTTCATATCATTACACACATGTTGTGTGACAAAGTCCATAACTCTAGTGTGACTATTTCCAGAATTTCCTTGAACTTGGAATTTATGTTAACAACAATAACTTCTTATCATAAGAAGAAATATATTTGTATCATAATTGATTTTTAGCTCGACTATTCGCAGAATAATCGAGCTAATGCAGTCACCCATTTGTCGGCGTCAGCGTCGGCGTCCCTGTGGTTAAGTTTTTGTATGTAAGCTGGTATCTCCATAACTACTGAAGGGAATGGATTGAAACTTCACACACTTGTTCTCTGTGATTATCTAAGATGATTGGCACAAGTCCCATAACTCTGATTTGCTTTTTTTCATAATTATGCCCCTTTTTCGACTTAGAATTTCTTGGTTAAGATTTTGTATGTAAGCTGGTATCTCCATAACTACTGAAGGGAATGGATTGAAACTTCACACACTTGTTCTCTGTGATTATCTAAGATGATTGGCACAAGTCCCATAACTCTGATTTGCTTTTTTTTATAATTATGCCCCTTTTTCGACTTAAAAATTCTTGGTTAAGTTTTTGTATGTAAGCTGGTATCTCCATAACTACTGAAGGGAATGGATTGAAACTTCACACACTTGTTCTCTGTGATTATCTAAGATGATTGGCACAAGTCCCATAACTCTGATTTGCTTTTTTTCATAATTATGCCCTTTTTCGACTTAGAAATTCTTGGTTAAGTTTTTGTATGTAAGCTGTTATCTCCATAACTACTGAAGGGAATTGATTGAAACTTCACACACTTGTTCTCTGTGATTATCTAAGATGATTGGCACAAGTCCATAAACTCTGATTTGCTTTTTTACATAATTATGCCCTTTTTCGACTTAGAAATTCTTGGTTAAGTTTTTGCGTGTAAGCTGGTATCTCCATAACTACTGAAGGGAATGGATTGAAACTTCACACACTTGTTCTCTGTGATTATCTAAGATAATTGCCACAAGTCCCATAACTCTGATTTGCTTTTTTACATAATTATGCCCCTTTTTTCGACTTAGAAATTCTTGGTTAAGTTTTTGCATGTAAGCTGGTATCTCCATAACTACTGAAGGGAATGGATTGAAACTTCACACACTTGTTCTCTGTGATTATCTAAGATGATTGGCACAAGTCCCATAAACTCTGATTTGCTTTTTAACATAATTATGCCCTTTTTCGACTCATGAATTCTTGGTAAAGTTTTTGCATGTAAGCTTGTCTCTCCATAACTACTGAAGGGAATGTATTGAAACTTGAAGAGTTTGTACCTTTTCGGACAATTTTATGTATTCATATAGGTAAGCATTATTATACTCAATGAAACACCCTTGTGACAAATTTTCGAATAGTCGAGCGTTACTGTCCTCCGACAGTTCTTGTTCTTTCATAGTTTTGTCTTCCTTACTGCGTCCTGTATTTAATTAGTCGAGCTTCGCTGTCTACTGTGACAGCTCTTGTTTACTTCACTGCCATATTTCATCCTAATTCCTGTCACAACAATACTTGGTGGTTGAAAACTTGGTCTTCGTTGCATTGCGGCGCTTCTTGTTTGCATATTGAATTACTAAAAAATCTTATATGTTGTGAGAGTTGTACATTGTAGACTTATTTTACATTTAATAAGCCTTATATATAACTACACTTATAAGGTACTGAAATAAGAAAACATAGTCATACTTTGAAAATGATAAGTGTTATTTTATATTATTAGCTGCTACTAGTACAGCCCAGGTGAAACCTGCTACAGCCACACAAGGTGCTACAAGTGGAGGAATTCAGAATGTACAGATTATTCAGGGTCCTAATGGTCAGCTTCAAGTTAGAGGGCTTATGCCAGGTAATTAGATATAAATCTTAATTCTTTGAATGCTACCTATATTATCAATACTAGAAACAAATTGGCAGCTGCACCATTTTAAAGTTTTGACAGAAAGTAACAGTTAATGGAAATCCCTAGATTTAAAGCTGGGTAAGTCAGCTGAACAAAGTTATATCTCTGTACATAGATGATCAATAAGCATTTGATGATGAATTATAGTCATCTGTCCTGTGTTGCAAACTGTAAAAGTCCCTGTAAAAGTATGCAGTTAACAAAGGCCGACGAGGGAAAAGTGTAAAAGTGGCCCTTGTTAATAGTGGCCTTTGTTCGGGGAATAATATCATTATGTCTGAGGAGCATTTACAGTGTAACTTCTGAAACCCAACACCTGTGGGACTAGCCAAAAAGTTCAGAATTTAGAAGTTTCTGGAATTCAGAAGTTCGGAATTATCTGAACAAGTAGAAACATTAAACATCAATTGTTTTAGTAAGACATGTTGAAAAATGCTTAAGCCTAAGAACATCAAACTTTGTATGGTGATTGTTCATGACCAGCAGATGACCCCTATTGATTTTGGGGTCAACGGGTCGAAGGTCAGGGTCTTATTTACCTTGTAGGTAAAAACGGTTTCCGATCAATAACTTGACAACTCATGAGCTGTTGGCTCTCAAACTTGGTAGGTGCTTTGGACTTGACCAGTTAATGACCCCTATTGATTTTGGGGTCAATGGGTCAAAGGTCAAGGTCACATTGACCTTTGTAGGTGAAAGTGTTTTCCGATCAATTACTATAGAATGCTTAGACCAAGGAACATCAAACTTGGTATGATGATTGTTCATGACCAGCAGATTACCCCTATTGATTTTGGGGTCGAAGGGTAAAAGGTCAAGGTCACATTGACCTTGTAGGTAAAAATGGTTTCCGAGTGATAACTAAAGAACGCTTAGGCCTAGGAACTTCAAACTTGGTTTGATTATTGTTCATGACCAGCATGTGACCCTTACAATTTTGGGGTCAAAGGTCAAGGTCAAATTGACCTTGTAGGTAAAAACAGTTTCCGATCAATAAAGAAAGAATATAAGGCCTAGGAATTTCAAACTTGGTATGATTTTTTGTTCATGACTAGCAGATGACCCCTATTGATTTTGGGGTCAAAGGTCTAGGTCACATTGACCTTGTAGGTAAAACGGTTTCCTATCAATAACTTGACAATCCATGGGCTGTTAGCCCTCAAACTTGGTAGGCGCTTTGGACTTGACCAGTAAATGGCCCCTATTGATTTTGTGGTTAAGGGGTCAAAGAGGTTGCATTGACCTTGTTGGTGAAAACGGTGTCCGATCAATAACTTGACAAGCTATTGGCTGTCGGCCCTCAGATTGTGTAGGTGCATTTGTCTTGACCAGTAGATGACCCCTATTAATTTTGGGGTTAGGGGGTCAAAGGTCAAGGTTGCATTGACCTTGTATTTCAAAATGGTTTTCTATCAATAACTGGACAATCCATGGACCCTTGACCTTCAAGCTTTACAGATGCATTGCTTTTGGTCATAAGATGACCTCAATGGATTTTTTGGCATTAAGGGGTCAGAGGTTAAGATCACAATGACCTGATAGGAAACAACGCTTTCTGATCAATATCCCAATATGGGCCCTTTACCTTCAAACTTCACAGGTGCATTGGTCTTGGCCAGTAGATAACCCCTTTTGATTTAAGGGTCAAAGGTCAATGTCATATTGACCTTGTATGTAAAGACTGTTTCTGACCTATAACTCAACAACTCAAGTTGCCTTGGTTGATATTTTTTATTAAACTAAAAGTCTTTTCAAGGTCTTATGTGATATAACAACTTGGCTGTCATTAATGAGGCCTACATGATTCATAAAATTCATGCATATATTATTTGGTAAAGACCCTGTCACACTAGACTGTGCTTTTACTGCGTTTGCATGGCGTTGTTAAATTGAACAAAGCGCTGCAAGATCGCAAGAAAAATCTGATATTTTTGATGACATTGAGACTTCATGGCGTCGCTACGGAGCTTCCACGGCGTTATAACGCGTTCCAACGGCGTTTTGATTGGCGATTGTCTCATTCGGACTGTGCTTCTACTGCGTTCTTTGGGCTTTCATGGAGCTCTCGCGGCGACTGCGTTCTTTGGGCTTTCATGGAGCTCTCGCGGCGTTCATACTGCGTATATATTGTGCTTCAGAATGTAGGACAAAACCCCACCAGTCAAAACCCCATACCTCAAAATTTTGTTGTCCACTCTGTAAAATTGAAGGTGTGGGGTTTTGTCCACTCTGTAAAATTTAGGTGTGGGGTTTTGTCAACTCTATTAAATTTTGAGATGTGGGGTTTTGACTGGTGGGGTTTTGTCCGTGTTTCATATACCAGATATCACTGATTCTGAATAGTCGTGTACCTGCTGCAACTGCATGCAAGCAAGCAATATTTCAGCTTGCTGCCACATCACCCATTGTTAAAAGGACATTTACTTGCAAACACGTTTTATATATATACAGTGGAAAACCTCTATTAGGACCACCAAAAGGACTAGACTAAAGTCACATTGATCTTAATTGCGGATGGTCTTAATTATGGCTATAATTATCAAGGCATATATATTTCATGACCACTCTATTGGAATTTTTATGTGTAAACATGTTTTTAAACATTATAACCTTCAAATATTACTATAAACTGATGTTAAAATATTAAATCCTTAAAAAGAACTTAAGTCTGAAGATATTTAAAATTAAAGATTGATTTTCATAGGTCTTGCTTCATGTACATAATTCCTATTTATTAAGAAATTAATTCTTCACAAAATAAATTTGCAGAAAATAACATTAAACCACTCTGAAGTTTATTTTCTCACATTTATACAATTTTCTAATCATTACAGTTGCAACACCTGTTTCATCAAGTGTCATGCTTTAGAGAATTCAAGAAGATGAATAACAATAAACTTGTGATCTGAATAGGTATTGACTGGAATATCAGTGGTCTCAATAATGGGGTTAGATAAATAAAACAATGAATTGGAACTGAAACTGGTGGTCTTAAAAGTGGATAAGTGGTGTGGTCTTAACTGTGGACCATGCTACCATTAACATAAATAACAGAAAATCTCGTTCTTTTGAAAATTGGTCTTAATACAGGGGTGATCTTTATTCCGGAGTGGTCTTAAGTAGGGATTCTACTGTACTGTATTCTGCAATATCAGATGAACGCAGTAGAATCGCATTGAAAGCACAGTGGTCACTGTGACAGTGCCGTAAAGTTGTAGTAAGAGCTTTTGAGAAAAAATAAAGCTCCGTACAAGCGCCGTACATACGCAGTATAGGCGCGATAGAGACGCAGCACAATCTCAGTACAACCGCCATGGCTAACAAAGGCATTCATTCTGCAATCATTCTGCCCTTTCACGGCGCTCCTGTTGCGTTGAAGGAGATGCTATCGAGTTGCTACGGCGTCCTTACTGCGATGCCACTGCGCTCTTATCAGAACGCCATTTGACGGCATGCTCAAAATGCGCGCCGTCGGTCAGCGATGCTGTGGCGATGCTATGGCGATTTTTGCGATCTTACTGCGCCCACCTCGGCGTTCTGAAATTTCTCTGGACGCCGTGCGTTGTCCTAGTGTGACAGGGGTTTTAGATTTCTTATAACTTTGTAATAAAATTGCTGCACATAACCTTTGCGGTCACAATTACCTAGTGACTAGTCATGACCATTAACCTTATTGATTTTGGTCACTAGGTCAAAAGTCGGTCATAATAACCTGATCACATGACTAATTGGCTGTCGATAGGGGGCATACATGTTTTACAGACATACCTTGTTTCTTTAATAAATTTATTGTTGCATTTGCAGATCTAGTATTGATTATAATTTTGGACTGAAAGTCCTGAGATCCATACCTCAATCTTTTGAAATAACACAATTTTATGCTTCATATAAAACTTCTCGAAGGCAGGGACATTGGTAACTCTGTTATATAAAAAAATATTGATAATTGAATTAAAACATGTTTTGGACAAATGTTATAAATGGGTATCCTCTATGTTTAAACATTATTTTTGAAAACTCTAAATTTCATTTACTTAAAACGAGTGTATATTGCCAAGCTATGCAGTGCTCTTGTTAATTAAATACTTTTGCTTTCAAAAATGTTATATTCTGGGAACCACCAGGACTGTTTAAAGATTTACCCTCAGTCTATCTGTCTGTTCCTAAAAACTGTTTTCTGAGATCACTTCTAAACCTGAACCTGGAACCTAAGAACCTGGAACTTTTCCAACAAATATACTTAAAATAGAAAAAAGTTGAAACATTAGTTATACATATTCATCCTGAGAAAATCGGTTCTTTTGGTTATTTGTTGTATAAACATAATTCCTTACTAGGCAGGGAAACTTAGCACATTACTATGATACAAACAAACTAAGAACTCAAAAGATTTAAGTTCATTCATGTCATTATACCCCCGAAACGAAGTTTGGGAGGGTATATAGGAGTCACCTAGTGGTTGGTGCAGCGGTCTGTTGCATTTTTCTTATCCGGAGTATAACTTGAAGACTAATGGTTGGAATTTAATACTACTTCACACAATGATCAAGCACAGTGAGAGGAAGTGCAGTGCACAAGAACCATAACTCCATCTGGACTAATTACAGAGTTATTGCTCTTTGTTACTTTTCCTTATCCGGAGCATTACTTGAAAAGTACTGCTTGGAATTCAAAACAACTTCATACAATGGTCAAGCACTATAAGAGGAAGTGCATTGCACAAGAACCATAACTTTATCTAAAGTTATTACAGAGTTATTGCCCATTGTTACTTTTCCATTGCATTTTCTTGTCTGGAGCATAACTTGAAAACCACAAGTTGGAAGTCAATACTACTTCATACAGTGGTCAAGCACATTGAGAGGAAGTGCAGTGCACAAGAACCATAACTCCATTTTGACTAATTACAGAGTTATTGCCCTTTGATATTTTTCCTTGTCTGGAGCATAACTTGAAAACTACTGGTTGGAATTCAAAACAACTTCATACAATGTCAAGCACATTAAGAGGAAGTGCAGTGCACAAGAACCATAACTCTATCCCGAGTAATTATAGAGTTATGGTGTTCAATCACCATGAACATGAAGGTCAATTTATTATGCTCCCCAAAAAATTTCGGGGGAGCATATAGTCGGCGCCTTGTCCGACTGTCCGTCTGTTGTCTTGTCCGGAGCATAACTTGAAAACCCTTGGAGATAATTTGTTTAAACTTCATACAGTGGTAGAGGGCATTGAGGGGGAGTGCAGTGTCAAAGAACCATAACTCTATTTTGCCCGGTTTTTGAATTATCTCCCCTGATAGAAAAATCTTGTCCGGGACATAACTCTAAAACTATAAGAGATATCAACATGAAACTTTGTAGGTGAATAGATCTCAATGTGTAGATGTGCAGTGCATAAGAACAATAACTCTTTTTGTCCTAATTTTGGAGTTATTGACCTTTGTTAATTTTAACACTGAACTTTGTCCGGAACATAACTCTAAAACTATAAGAGATATCAAAATGAAACATTGTAGGTAGATAGATCTCAATGAGTAGAAGTGCAGCACAAAAGAACCATAACTCTGTTAAGCCTCATTTTTGAATTATCTCCCCTTTTAGAAAAATCTTGTCCAGGACATAGCTGTAAAACTATAAGAGATATCAACATGAAACTTTGTAGGTAGATATATCTCAATGGGTAGATGTGCATTGCACAAGAAGCATAACTCTGCATTGCCTAATTCTGAAGTTATTGCCCTTTATTTTTACTTTTTGAAGTTGTCTGGGACATAACTCAGAAACCATAAGAGATATCAACATGAAACTTTGTAGGTTGATAGATGACTTTGATTAGAAGTGCAGTGCAAAGAAAAGTAACTCTTCCTTGCATAATTTTGGAATTATTGCACTTTGAACTTTTTCCACAGACATAGCTCTGAAACTATAAGAGGTGTACTTTCCTGTGTCCAAAACCTATTCGGGGAGCATCACCCGGCTCAAACCGGGCTCTTGTTGAATTTTGGTTAAGTCGTCATAATTTTGTTTTTTTGCTCCCCGAAGGGTGAGCATATAGTTGCCGCTTTGTCCGTCCATCTGTCCGTCAGTTTGTCAGTTTTTCTTGTCCAGGACATAACTTTGAAACAACAAGAGGTATCGACGGTAGAAAGATCTCATTGAGTAGAAATGCATTGTTAAAGAACCATAACTCTGTTTTGCCTATTTTTGGAATTATTGCCCTTTGTTCATTTTGACACTATGAACATTTGTCTGGGAAATTACTCTAAAATTATAAGAGATATCAACATGAAACTTTGTAGGTAGATAGGTCTCATTGAGTAGAAGTGTAGTGCCATAGAATCATAACTCTGCCTTGCCTTATTTTGAAGTTATTGCCCTTTGTTTATTTTTACTTTTTGACTTTTGTCCGAGACATAACTCTAAAACTATTAGAGATATCAACATGAAACTTTGTAGATTGATAGATCTCATTGGATAGAACTGCAGTTCTGAAAGCCTAAACACAGCCTTGTCTAATTTTGGAGTTATTGCCCTTTGTTCATTTTTACACTTTGAATTTTGCCCGGGACATAACTCTCAAACTATTAGAGATATCATCACGAAACTTAATAGATTGACAGATCTCATTGAATAGAAGTGCAGTGCAAAAAACCATAACTTGGCCTTGCCTAATTTTGGAGTTTTTGCCCTTTGTTAATTTTTAGCTCACCTGTCACAAAGTGACAGGGTGAGCTTTTGTGATCGCTTTTCGTCCGGTGTCCGTCCGGCGTCCGTCCGTAAACTTTTGCTTCAAATGACATCTCCTCATAAACCACTAAGCCAATTTCATCCAAACTTCACAGGAATGTTCCTTTGGTGGTCACCTTTAAAAATTGTTCAAAGAATTTAATTCCATGCAGAACTCTGGTTGCCATGGCAACCGAAAGAAAAAAAACTTTAAATATCTTCTTTTAAAAAACCCAAAGAGCTAGAGCTTAGATATTTGGCATGAAACATCTTCTAGTAAGTGTCTACCAAGTTTGTTCAAATAAAAGCCCTGGGGTCAAAATTGGCCCCACCCCAGGGGGTCATTGATTTTCCCTATATACATATAGTAAAAACTTGAAAATTCTTCTTTTAAAGAACCCATGGAGCTAGAGCTAAGATATTTAGCATGAAACATCATCTAGTAAGTGTCTACCAAGTTTGTTCAAATAAAAGCCCTGGGGTCAAAATTGGCCCCGCCCCAGGGGGTCATTGATTTTCCCTATATGCATATAGTAAAAACTTAAAAAATCTTCTTTTAAAGAACCCATAGAGCTAGAGCTAAGATATTTAGCATGAAACATCTTCTAATAAGTGTCTACCAAGTTTGTTCAAATAAAAGCCCTGGGGTCAAAATTGGCCCCGCCCCAGGGGGTCATTGATTTTCCCTATATGCATATAGTAAAAACTTAAAAAATCTTCTTTTAAAGAACCCAAAGAGCTAGAGGTTAGATTGCAGGAAACATCTTTTTTTGGGTGTCTACCAAGTTTGTTCAAATAAAAGCCCTTGGGTTAAAATTGGCCCTGCCATAGGGGGGTGGGGAGGTCATTGTTTTTCATTATATGTGTGTAGTAAAAACTTAACATCATGAAACATCTTCCAATGAGTGTCTTCCAAGTTTGTTCAAATAAAAGCCCTGGGGTTTAAACTAGCCCCGCTCCGGGGGCCTAAATACAGGTGAGCGACCTCAGGGCCATCATGGCCCTCTTGTTTTTATACTTTCCTGTTCGGGATGCATCACCCAGTCAACATTGAATTGACCTTCACCATCAAGGTCAAATTAATGAAATTCTCTTGTTCTTTTTCTGTAACTCAGGCTATATCTTTGTTATTTATAAATGGATTAACTTTATATTCATATTCATATTCTTTAGGATATGACCGTTATGTGTAGTAAACTAAAATAGATCTTGGTTCATTAATGACCTGACCTTGAAGGTTAAATTATTGAATATTCAATGATTTTTGCTATTATTGACTGTAACTTGGTAATTAATAAATGAATTATCTTCATATTTTGAGAAAACAACCTTTTGGACAAGGCCTTATTTAAGGTTGCACTGAGCTTGACATTGAGCTTTAAGTGACCTTGACCATCAAGGTCAAATTATAGAATTTTGGTTAAATTTTTATAATTTTGTTTTTTATATATGGATTTGATTCATATGTGGACAAAAGAACACTTGTGACTAAATAGACATGTGAAATACTTTAGATATGACATGACCTTTAAATGATTTTGATCATCAAAATACTTTTTGGAATTCAATGCTTTTCTGTAGTTTTCCAGGGTTCACCAGTCTCTCTTCCAGGCTGACCCTGAAAAATCTACATGCGGGCACTCGGAAGTGACCGTAAGCACAAGTTAGACTGCACATTAACATTTTTAGCTTTTCTATATATAAATACATCTATACATATATGTGTAGTAAAATAGGTATGACAAATTTTGTAACATTTCAGTTTATTATTGCATTTTCAGGTCAGCAGGTGATCCGGTTACCAGATGGCCGTCTACAGCTGATAACAATACCTCAACAAAAGGTTCAGCAACAGGCTTCAGCTGCAGCTCAAACCCCAGCATCGACTATCCAAATAGCAAAACCAGAAGGTGCTATGCAAGTTCCTGTGGCGCAAACTCCAGTTAGACCTCAAACAGTCCTGGTAAATAGCTCTGGTACACATCCAGTTAGTGGACATCCAGTAGTGTCAGGTGTTACACCCAACAAGATAATGGTTGCATCCCAAGGTGGTGTACAGAGCGCAGTCATAGTCAGTTCTCCACAATCATCAGGTGGCACTGTTTCTGTACTCACTTCAGGTGGGCAAGGAATTGCAAGGATAATATCTCCAGGTAAGATTGCTACTCCTGTTATACAGAAAGTTGCTGGCGGCACATCTGTGGTACATGTGAACACACCACAAGGTACCCGCATTATACGTCAAGTCACTCCCCAAGTTGTTGTTTCTGGACAACAACCAAACTTGCAACAAAAACAGCAACAATTACAGCAGCAACAGCAGGTTCTAGCAGCACAACAGGCACAATTACAGCAAGTTCTCCAACAGCAACAGCATCTCAAACTTCAGTCTGGCCAAGTTGTGCAGGTGTCTGGTGCAGTCTCAGGAGCCACTGCTGTTATATCAAGTCAGTCTGGCCAGCAAACAATCACAGTAACCCCTCAACAGTTTGCAGCTCTACAGCAACAACAACAATTAAAGCTGGTAAAACCAGGGGAGACACATTCTCAGCAAATTACTATTGGTGCTGGAGACCTGGCATCAACTACACAGACTGGAACCACATTACAAGACCAACTAGTTAAACATTTACAGCAGCAGGCAGAAGTTAAAACACAAACACAAGGAGCAGATAAATCAGTCACACCAGGATCTCCACCACCTGCTGTCCCTCAATCACCAGTCAAGTCACCCATAGCTTTATCAGCACAGCAGAAGTATGCAGTTACACCACAAGTGGTACAGGAAGGTAAGACTGATGATATTATGATTCAAATCAAATAATGAAAAAATGTTAGTAAAATTATTTGTGCTTTTTGATAAAAAAAATGATAAAAATAAATTATATTAATAACTAGGCCATCCATAAAAAATTGTTTGTTTGTAGTGCTCGACCGACCCATGAAAATGGCCCCGACTCTAAAAAATTTTTACATCTTCCAGGGTTTTTTTTTTTTTGAGATCATGGTGCACCCATTCTGTTAAAATGAACTTTCTCCAATAACTTTTCAGACAAATTTTGAACTGAGAAGTAGAAGAGTAAAAGAATGTTATCCAAAAACCAAAATAACGCACGCTTTTCATTGATATTTAGCCAAAATTTGACCCCGAACATCGGCGATTTCACATTATCAGAAACCCTAAAATTTCGCAAAGGACATAAAAATTCTCAGTTACCAAGCCAAGCATGTGAATAAATTGTTCTTTTGTAATTTAGTCAACATTTAAATCTTATAAAAGTCAATCCCTTTTGAAGATATTTGCTAAAATAATTGCCGATTGGATGAATCTCTTACACACTGTGTGAAGCTGTACCTGATTTTCCTGTTCATTCCACTAAACGCTGCCTATATATGTACAGTATATGGAAATGATACCCTCATGAAGGTAGTTTTACAAATATAAAGTTTTGGTCTTTAGACTTTAGAGTGGACATATTTAACCAGAAAAAAATTTGATTAATTTTTGGAATAAAAGTGAAAAAACAATTGCAACTTTGTTTAAAAAATAATGAATGTGAAAATGGACAGAAATGGTACCCTAATGAAGGTTTTTTTTTACAAGAGTGGACATATTTAACCAGAATAAAATTTCATTTGTTTTTGGTATAAAAGTGAAAAAAAAAAAGATTGCAACCTTGCTTCAAGATAATATACATACATCAATGAATGTGAAAATGGATTACCCTCCGTAACCAAAGGCCACCACTGTATACATACATTTTTACACAAAATAATACCAGAAGAACTTTATTGTTGACATAAATAAATTTAAATCATTTTGCCATTCATGATTGCCAGAAAATGAGGTTACACTAAAACTTGGTTAAAAATACAAGTGATAAAATTTTCGCAGGAAAATCGCTGAAAATTAATGGGTCTTTTTCTGATACTTTTAAAAAAGTTAATATACCTGTGTTTTCTTCATAAGAACGATAATTATTAATAAATTTTACCTTTTCCTAAATTGTAAATTAATAGCCATATTTTTATGCCCCCGGGCATATGAGTAATTGAACCGTCTGTCCGTAGGAGGTTAACCTAGAACAGCAAGTTGGATTTTTCTTAAGTTCTACCTGTACCAAAGGCTTCTAAGTTTACACACTTACTAATCAATACAAAGTACATGATCTGGGCAAGTTACATAACTCTGGCTTTCATATTTACCAAGTTATTGCCCTTTTCAGCACTTAGAAAATGAACAATGGTTAACCTAAAACGGCAAGTTGGAAATATCTTAAGTTCTATCTATACTAATGGCTTTATAATTTCCACACTTACTTATCAATACAAAGTACATGATATTGCCAAGTTATATAACTGTGTCATCCATATTTTCCAGTTATTTCCCTTTTTTCACTTTGAAAATAGGGCCATGTCTGGTTAACCTATTCTGGCAAGTTGGATTTATCTTAAATTTCTCCTAATTGCTTAATTTCTTTAATGATATCTTTCATATTTAGTAGGTGGATACCTTTGATGGTTCTCTAATTTTTTGTGGAGTAGGCGGTCTCTAGGGTCAAGGTCACTGGTTTAAGAAATAAATATAAACATTTTTGCTCATACAGCCTTAATTTTTTAGTTGATGTCTTAGTTTAATACAAACATGCCAAGAGAGGTCCTCCTTCTTTGGGTGTAGTAAGGGGTCATTTGGGTCAAGGTCAATGTTACCAATGTCAAGGTCACCAATAATAAAAATAGATTTTTACATTTTTACAGGTGTATTAATCTTATTCTATAGACAGATGTTATTTATAATTGATAGAAACATAAACTTTGATGGAGTTAGTGGTCCGTTGGGTCAAGGTCACCAGTGCTAAAAATAGATTTTTACACATTTGCTAATACAGCCTCATACAAGTGACAGATATATTTTATATTTGGTAGGAAGATAACTTGCATGGTATTCATCCTTTTGATTGGGGTAGGGATCAGTGGGTCAAGGTCACTTGTGCTAAAAATAGATTTTTACACTTTTGCCTATACAGCTTTTATTTATTGACAGGTGTATTTCATATTTGGTAGGAAGATAACTTGCATGAAGTTGGATATTTTTCAACTTCACACGTCAGAGCAATGACTTGGCAACTTATATTTTTCACAATTACAAAATGCCATGACTTTGTCAAGCTATATAACTTGTGTTTACAATTTTTTGGCAATTTTTCTGTCCATAACTGTGTGAATGGGTAAACATTTTTATGCTCCCCGAAAAATTTCGGGGGAGCATATAGTTGGCGCCTTATCCGTCTGTCCGTCCGTTGCCTTGTCCGGAGCATAACTTGAAAACCCTTTGAGATAATTTGTTTAAACTTCAGACAGTGGTAGAGGGCATTGAGGGGGAGTGCAGTGTCAACAGTCAAAGAACCATAACTCTATTTTGCCCGGTTTTTGAATTATCTCCCCTTATTGAAAAGTCTTGTCCGGGGCATAACTCTAAAACTATAATAGATATCAACAATAGATCTCAATGGGTAGATGTGCAGTGCATAAGAACAATAACTCTTTTTTTCCTAATTTTGGAGTTATTGCCCTTTGTTTATTTTAACACTTTGAACTTTGTCCGGAACATAACTCTAAAACTATAAGAGATATCAAGATGAAACATTGTAGGTAGATAGATCTCATTGAGTAGAAGTGCAGTGCAAAAGAACCATAACTCTGTTTAGCCTCATTTTTGAATTATCTCCCCTTTTAGAAAAATCTTGTCAAGGACATAGCTGTAAAGCTATAAGTGATATCAACATGAAACTTTGTAGGAAGATATATCTCAATGGGTGGATGTGCAGTGCACAAGAATCATAACTCTGCCTTGCCTAATTCTGGAGTTATTGCCCTTTGTTTTTTTTTACTTTTTGAATGTTGTCTGGGAAATAACATTAAAATTATAAGATATATCAACATGAAACTTTGTTGGTAGATTGATCTCATTGAGTAAAAGTGCAGTACAAAAAAAACATAACTCTGTTTTGCCCAATTTTTTAATTATCTCTCCTTTAAAAAAAATCTTGTCTGGGAAATAACCCTAAAACTACAAGAGATATCAACATGAAACTTTGTAGGTAGATGGATCTCAATGGGAAGATGATCTGTGACAAGTGAATAGTTGGCTCTTCAGAGGAATATGATTGTCAATCTTTAATGTTAACAAGTGTAGTCTTGGCAGATTCAACACTCAATTGACTTCCACCCTTTTTAGCTCACCTGAGCTTGCTCAGGATGAGTTTTTAGGACCGTTGAATGTCCGTCGTCTGTCGTCAGTCCACATTTGTTTGTTAACACTCTAGCGGTCACATTTTTGTCAGGATGCTTGTCTAGGTGATAGCTTGGATCAGTTCGAACATGGGTCATCTCGGAGGAAAAACTTGGTCACAAGAGCTAAAAGTAGAAAAACCTTGTTAACACTCTAGCAGTCACATTTTTGCCTCAATCATCATCAAACTTTGTCAGGATGCTTGTCTAGGTGATAGCTCTGATGAGTTCGAACATGGGTCATCTGGGATGAAAAACTAGGTCACTGGAGCTAAAAATAGAAAAACCTTGTTAACACTAGCAGGCACATTTTTGCCTCAATCATCATCAAACTTTGTAGGTGATAGCTCTGATGAGTTCGAACATGGGTCATCTCGGATGAAAAAGTAGGTCACCGGAGCTAAAAATAGAAAAACCTTGTTAACACTCTAGCGGTCACATTTTTGACTCAATCATCATCAAACTTGGTCAGGATGCTTGTCTAGGTGATATATCGATTGAGTTAGAACAAGGGTAATCTCGCATGAAAAACTAGGTCACCGGAAGTAGAAATAGAAAAATCTTGTTAACATTTTAATGGCTATTGTTTAGATCCAGGTGTCCTGGAAATTGGTCTGAAAGTTTGTTTTGATGATTTCTAGGTCAAGTTCGAATATGGGTCACCTGGGTAAAAAACTAGGTCACACTGCTCAAATATGGGTAATCCTTGTTAACACTCTAGTGGTCACATTTTTGACTCACCTGTCATGAAACTTGGTCAGAATGCTTGTCTAGGTAATTGTTCAGATGAGTTTGATGGGTCAGGTGAGCGATCTAGGGTCATCATGGCCCTCTTGTTAAGTTATTGGTGTATTATCTTCATACTTGGCCACAACATCCCTTGTGATAAGACCTTTCAGTAGACCAGATAACATTGACCTTCATCTATAAATAACCTTGACCTTCAGGGTCAAATGTCCAAACTTTGGGAGTTTCTTGCTATTATTGGCTATAACTTTGTTATATTTCAAACTTGAACATAAAAATCGTCTAGTATAGCCCTTTAAGTTAACCAGACAGACCTTGACCTTCACTTATAATTGTCCTTGACTTTGATGGTCAAATTTTGGAAAAAAAATTCTATTTTTTTATGCACCCGAAGGGAGGCATAATATAATCTCACCATCTGTCCGTCCGTCTGTCAGTCTTTGTGTCCCCACTTAATTTATGTCCGGACTGTAAATTTTTCATACATTGAGGGATTTTGAAATAACTTGGCACAAATGTCTACCACATCAAGACTATGTGTCGCGTCCAAGGACCACCTCCCTACCTCAAAGGTCAAGGTAACACTATCATTTTGAAGTTTCACATTATCCCAATTAGAGTAAATAGGTACACACATTGTGGCCTGACTGTAACTTTGTCATGCATTGAATGATTTTAAAATAACTAGGCTTAAATGTCTCCCATATTAAGACGATGTGTTGCGTCCAAGAAATACGTCTCTACCTCAAAG